GGTCCCTCCCGTCACCCGGCCACGGGGCAGCTCTGGGGACTCTCCCCTCACATGGCCACGGGGCAGCTCTGGGGTCTCTCCCCTCACATGGCCACGGGGCAGCTCTGGGGTCTCTCCCCTCACATGGCCACGGGGCAGCTCTGGGGACTCTCCTGGCACACGGCCACGGGGCAGCTCCGGGGGGGAGGGAAGGGGCTAGGAATGGCAGAGCCACGTGAGAATACACTGGAAAGAGGGCAGAAGGAAGAAGGAGGTTCACGAAACCCTAACTGGGGAGAAAGGGCAGGGGTGGGGAACGGCAAAGCTTTGCTTTCTTCTTTTTTTAATGAGAGACATTCAAATATGTTTATGTGCCAAGGAAGAGGTACAATGAAATGGTAAACGTAATAAGAACGACAGGAAGACAACAAGACTACGATCCCGGACTATCGAGCGAGGTGTGGCCTCGGGGTGCCGCTAAGGCAGAGGGTGCTGTGACCCTGGAAGGAGGGCTCCCCAAGAACTGACTCCCTTTGGGCTTCTCCGCTGACATCTGCCTCCAAGTCCTGAGTTAGACACCCAGAGCATAAAGATATTAAAGTCTCCTTCTGCAGTCAAAGTAGGCACACAAACAACTGTGTTTTTATTGACATTTAATCACTGCAGACCTTTACAGCATACGGTATGGGCTTTCAACACCTAAGTGCCTTGCCTGTCAATCAAGTCAGAGATCCTCCTTACACAGGAAGTTTCCTCTTCTGCGCCTGTTAGATGTTTCTCTTTCCCGTGTCCCTTCCTCCTAGTCCCAACTGCCCTCCCCATAGTCTCTGCATCTACACTCGCCGTGTCTGCTCCTGTACCTTCCACTATCTTGTAAGTGCCATGTTCACGACACAGGGAATGTCCCTGGGCCGCACATCAGTGACAGAGTGTCCCTTGCCTGGGAGAGTCCCACTCACCATAGCACGTCACGGTACCATCCTGCCACCAGGGGGTGCTAGAGAATGCCCGTCACGTAACACCCACCACCAGAGGGTGCTAGAGAACGTCCCAGTCACTAACATCCAGAACGCACAACCCATACACGTTCCCACGCCTCCCTGAGCAGGACCATGTGTCAACGGGGGACACAGAGCAAATTAGTGAAGTTAGCAAGACCTGGATTTGGAACCGTGAGATCATGTGATCCTTAGGTAAATTAATAACTTCTGAGTTTGGGTTTTCATAAAATAAGATATTTTATGAAATATCTTCATAAGAATGCTATGAGGATAAAATAAGACAGTTAATGCAACACGCCTGCAAGCCTGGGACATGCACCTGGCCAGTGCAGCCCCCAGTGTTCACCGCAGAGTAGCCACCGCACGGCCACCCGCCTCCTGCGGGCCCTGGGGATTCCCACACGAACCCTCCCGCACTGTCAGAAGCACTACTGCAGCCCTTCTGTTTGTCTCCCATGTGGGGAGCCCACGTTCTGCATGGCCTCCCACATCTTCATCCTGGCTCACAGGGGGTAGGGAGAACTGCACCTGGCACCAAAAAGACACCAAGGCCCTTCCGGCACCTAAGACACACTCACCCACTGTCACCGCTTCCAACAGAAAGGAAGCAAAGCTGCCTGGGGGACTGGCTCGTCCTCAGCTCCAGCAGAGCTTAAGGGGGTCAGTGACACCTCTGCACCAAGTGCACCCCAACTCCCCTTGGGCACCCACGCCAACTCTTGGAAAGAGGCAGGAATGACAGGGATCCGGCCAGCCCTGGTACCTGGCCAAAGGAGTAAGTGTGGTGCTGAGGGTCCCAGACAGCCAGGGGAGAGACGGGCAGGGAAGGAGGCTGTGAGCAGGGCCGGGTAGTGAGCCCTATGGGAGAGAAGGCCAGGGGCTGAGGAGGAGGTCTGAGAAGGCGACCCGCTGCCATCCCGGCAGCTTGATTTACCAAGTATCAAAGTGCGGAAGCCTGCCCTGCTCCGGTCCTTTTGATGGACTGTCTGAACACAGTATTCACAAGGCAGTTCTCCTCCCTGTGCAGTCCTTACGATGTTAATGTTAAAATTGTCGTTTCTGGCATTAAAGAAGGAGTCGCCAATTATTAGAGCCCAAGGTTCTCTACTTCGGATACATAGCCACCTGTAAGGGATACCACTGCCGATCATCCTTTAAAGGGACAGAGCTGTTCATGTACTAATATTTATGATCTGCTGGAGTAAGGACTTTTGAACAGCAGCTTATCAGCAAAAAATGGGCCAAAGTACTTCAGAAAAGAAACTAGAGAAAATATAAATATCTGAATAAACTAACAAATAAACCTGTTTCATAACCTCCCCTTACTTGGACACAGGCAGTTATAAACAGGCAGCTGGTGAGCAGAGCCATTCCCTTCCGAACACAGACAGAACAGATCGAAAAATACTCTCCCACCCTACAACCAACAGCCTTTCGACTTCTCTGAAATGACCCAAAGTAGTCTTTCTCACAGAAGCCTCCCTCCGCAGGGGACAGAGCAGGCCGATCGCCAGGGGCTGCTGCTGGAACTCCGGACAAGTTCTCTGCAGGCTTTCTTGACAATTACGAAGAATTCTGGAAATCAGAAAACAGCTTTGGCATAAAGACTGGTGGCGGGGTTGCTCTGCTACATTTTGGTTTTCTTTTTTTCCTCTCAGCTATCTGAAATAGCTACTGACGATTAACAAAGGTGTTGCGATGTTGGTCCCCCTCCCTTCGGGATATCAGAGTATGTTCTGGAATATAGGAGAAAAACAAATTATCTGTTAAAATCAGCCAGTAGCCAGCGGCCAGGCGGTGGCATGCAGTAAAATATAAAATGCAAGGCTCTTCGAGGCAATGCGACGTGGAAAGGTTCTTGGTTCAAGCCCAGAGACCTCTCTTGGGTATGCCAGGCTGGACGGTGGGGTAGATTACAACATCAGCACTCTATTGGGGTCTGTCCACTTGCCTCTCTTCTTGTCTGTCTCTGTGGTTCATGAAAGAAATAATTAAGTAAGCTTAAAAAAAATAAATAAACACAGGTATTTGCTTTTCGTTTGTTTGGTTTCTCTATTTTTGCTACAGGGCCTGTGTGCTCACCAGGGTGGGGTGGGGTTGTCAAGTGAGAAATCACTCTCCAGGGGAACGGCTATGCTTCAGTCCCTTCTCCTCCAGTCTCCTCTAGAGATCTCGAGCACGTGCCTGGTGTGTTTTTCAGCACTTGAACCATATATAGCTGGCCATGAGGGATCCAGCCTCCTAACCTCCATGCCACCTGCTGGTCTGCGCTTGCTTTACTTGCTTATGAAAGAGAAGCAATACCAAACATTTCCTTCTATCTTAAATGCAATTAGCATACGGGTCTTCCCTGACCACTCCCTAAGGCATGTGACATCCAAGGTAGGAACAGGGCCAGCAGGTGGCGTGGTGAAGGTACTGGACTCCAACACCGCCCACCACAGTTCACGTCTCAGACCCAACGGCGTGAAAACCATGCCAGGCACATGTGCGTGTGTACCCGAAAGCCTGAGAGGAGAATGAAGGAGAAGGAACGGTAGTGTGGCCATCCCCCCGGGGATGATTTCTCACTTTCCCTCTCACTGTCTGTTTGGCGAGCACACACACTCTATGACCAAAAAAAAATAAAAAAACAAAAAACAAACAAAAACTTTAAAAATAATAAAAAAACACAGTTCCAGCCTCTGAGGGAGCCACAATCTGCTTTGCCTGACAAAGGAGCATCATGTAAATCCCAAAAAATAAGACTGTTAAAGAAAGGAGTGGCTATTTTGTTTAACTGTCAGAGGGCATGTGTACTTGGGGGTGGGGGCTGAGAAAGCACACCCTAATGGGGCCTGGTCTTGCTGTGAGCCTCTCCTCCATTTCTCCAACCTGCTGACATTTTGGACACATGCACACACACACACGCACACACATGCACAAGCACATACTTACTCACATGCTGTTCAAGCAGCCAAGGCCAGTATTCGAACATGTGGGATCTAGCTCCCTTAACCAGGCCATAAGGGCCAGCTCAGCAAAAGCTTTTGTTTTTTTTTTTAAGAGAGATTTTTTAGAGGGGGGGGGAGTGAGAAATCACTCCCCGGGAGATGGCCGTGCCACGATCCTTTCTCCTCCATTTTCCTCTTGGGATTTTGGGCACACACATCCACATGCCTGCTGTGAGTTTTAAGCTGCTGGGTCTGGGACTTGAACTGTGGCTGGCCATGTGGGAGTCCAGCAACGTAAGCACTATGTCATCTGCTGGCTCCTGGTATGGTTTTAACATTAAAATGTCTACATTGTGGTACACGCCAGGGAGTCTACAGATCTCTGCAAGCAAATATGGTGGGGCCTGAGTGCTTCCCATAGAGTGCGAGCTCAGGAGCCGCTTGTGGCATTCTCTCTTGTGGCATTCCCCCCTGTGATATTCCTTCCTGTGACATTCCCCCCCTGTGGCATTTCCCCCTGTGGCATTCCCTCTTGTGGCATTCCCCCTGTGGCATCCCCCCCTGTGGCATTCTCCCCTGTGGCATTCTCTCCTGGGGCATTCCCTCCTGGGGCATTCCCCCCTGTGGCATTTCCCCCCTGTGATATTCCTTCCTGTGACATTTCCCCCTGTGGGATTCCCCCCTGTGGCATTCTCTCCTGTGGCATTCCCCCCTGTGGCATTCCCTCGCATGTCAGACCCCCCGGCCCCCCTGTGGCATTCTCTCTTTTGCCTTTCTCTCCTGTGGCATTCCCCCCTGTGATATTCCTTCCTATGACATTCCCTCCTGTGGCATTCCCTCCTATGGTATTCCCCCCTGTGGCATTCTCTCCTGTGACATTCCCCCCTGTGGCATTCCCCCCTGTGGTATTCCCCCCTGTGGCATTCTCTCCTGTGACATTCTCTCCTGTGGCATTCCCCCCTGTGATATTCCTTCCTATGATATTCCCCCCTGTGGCATTCCTTCCTATGATATTCCCTCCTGTGGCATTCCCCCCTGTGGCATTCCCTCCTGTGGCATTCCCTCAGAAAGCCTGAGGTCGCACCTCAGAGCCCGTGAGACGGAAGGGACTCTTCACCCGTTGCTGTGCTCTCTTGGGTGACTTTCCTATTTCAGGCCATCTCTGCCTCTGGCTTCCTCTACCTAAGAAAGTTCCTTCTCAAATCTGGGTCTTAATTTCCTCTCAAAGCAACTGATAGCTAGAACAAAGCACAACCACGTAATAATACAGGACAGGTCTCCAAAGATCCACGGACATACATACGCTATCCTAGTGCAGAGCCATTCATGAGAATGAAGACGAGAGAAAGAAGCCAAGATGCATTGAGCTGGGGAGGAGGGAGGCACTATGTTATACACAGCATAAAATCTTTTCATTTATATATTTTTTGCTTCAAAAAGGGGAAAAAGGCGGTCCTGGAGAAGTTACGTCCAACTATAAACAATGATTACTTCAAAGCATTTCTCTGTACTATTTGAATTTTTCTCAATAACCATTATTATTTTCCAAGTAGAAAACACTAAGAAAAAAAAATCTTTATTAAAGTGGCCAAATTTAAACAATTTGCAACAAGTATCAGAACAGATACTGCTTTATAATACTTAACACCCCACTATAATAGGTATTTTACTTATTTTTAGTAGCAAGACTCTATTTCCCAAATAAAACCCTACTCGGGTGCCTACATATAAGGCTGGTAAAAGAAGCTCGAGTGGTTAGGAGACGGGAGGACCAATCCCACGCTCACCCTCCCGCTCTGACCTAGGAGGAGTTCCTCAGGTTGGCGGAATCCAGGGGTGGCCAAGGAATCCAGGCAGTCAAAGGAAACATGCAGAATCAGCACCAGGTGGACCAGGACAGAGGTTCAGTACTTGGGTTTTACCCCTGTGGTTAGCAAGGCCGGACCACAGTACACGTGGGCGGCCACCCTGACACCGCCCCCCGGGTCACTAGTTGGAAGAGCTATATCCTTTCTACAAACAGTCATGAAAGACCCGCCTCACCAGACCCTCCACCCCTCCCCAAGTGGCTTCCCCAAAACGGCACGGCCGCCATCGGTCCAGTTATCTTCTTTCTGCGCTAGATCTGGGATCCTGTCTGAAAAGCCTGAAGGATGAGTGTGTTCGATCCCGTAATGATCATCGGAAGGAAGGTCACCTTTATTTTAAAGATTTGAGAGAGTTTAGAGCAAAGGTTTAAGATTTAAAATACACACCTGGGAGGACCCAGCACTGTGTGGCCCGTGGCCCACCGCCCACCGCCCGGCCTCGGGGGTGGCTACCCGCTCTTACCTTGGACTCTGCGTGCCACGTGAAGTGCAGGAAGTTTGTCTCGCTGGGCACTAACAGGTTAAAGGACAGAGCGTGGTGACTAATAAGGTCATTTCTCACATAATAAAGTTCTGCATCAAGACCTAAAAAAAAGAAACAGGGAAAAACTATTAAAGCCCTAAAATAACCTCAAAATCATACCCGGCAGTATTTCAAATACTAACAACAGGGGAACCAGCAGTCAGCGTAATGGCTATGTCGCTGGACTCCCACGTAGTCGACCGCGGTTCGTGTCCGGACCTGGTGGCTTAAAACTCACGCCGGGCGCATGTGCGTGCATGCCCAAGATCCCGAGAGGAGAAAGGAGGAGAAGGGATTGCGGCGTGACCATCCCCCCTGGGGGGTGATTTCTCGCTTTCTGTCTCTATGTCTCTCTCTGTCTGTCTGGCGAGCGCACGCGCCCTACAGTGAAAATCTCTCCAAAAAAAAAAAAATACTAACAACAGAATGAAGGAAATACTGACGAGCAAACGGCTCTCACAAACGCCGCCTTAGACCGCAGAAGGGCCATTAGGTTTTATCATCACCACTATAGATGAAGAACCGAACGCAAAACAATGACCTGCTCCTGCTAAAAACAGACGCGCTGGGCCCAGCAGGGACCTTGGTGGCTAAGGCCGGACTCCCACATGCCCCCCCTGACGTGGGGGTTTGCTTTCTGACTTTCCCTCGCGTTCTCTCTCTGGGAGTGCACATGCCCTATAGCAAATTTTTAAAATAATAATAAAAAGCAAAATTAAATCAACAATCCTTAGAAAACGAGATGTGCTAAAGCAGCACTCTGCAGCGGCTCCACCTCCCGAGGGCCACTGCGACACTCCTACCGCCACAGCGCTCCTGAGCAGTCTCCGAGAAACGTCTCTGCTCCCCGAAGACTGAGGAGGGTTTAGGAAGAAAGATTTCAAATGGAAGGGGAAAGGAACCAGAGTTGAGCCCTCGTAGGCCGGGCCTCAACGCCCCAGCAGAGATAAACCGCAGCCTGGATTAGAACCACCCTCGCCACCACCCGGGGCAGCGCAGCTGCACGCACAGCGGGCACCTGGAGATGCTCGTCCGTCCCCTGCCTGGACCAGGGCGACAGCAGCCCGCCCGGCAGTGCAGGGACTGCAAACGGGCGGCAAACGCTTGCTAAACGACACGGTGGCACTGCACACAAGCAGAAATCGTGGGAGGCCTGACAATTCCGGAGCAGTAACTCCCAAATCCCACTCATAGCACCTTCCCAAACAGGGCGCGATCCATCTCCAAGACGCGACCCTCCCGAATCCTGTCATACTCCGTTATCCAATCTGGATCTACTAGGTCATCAGGAAAGTCATGGCTCATTTTTGCACAGAAAACTACATCATGACATTCCTGACGACCTCGTATTTTTCATCTAAATTGATTAAAGTGTTTTTACTTTTTTTTTTGGAGAGGGTTTTGCTATAGGGCGCATGCGCTCGCTAGCCAGAGAGAGACAGAGAGACAGAAAGTGAGAAATCACTCCCCAGGAGGGATGATCACGCTGCAATCCTTTCTTTCCCCTCCATTCTCCTCTCGGGATCTTGAGCACGCACGCACACGTGCCCGGCGTGAGTTTAAGCCACCGGGTCAGGGACTTGAACCGCGGTCGGCTACATGGGAGTCCAGCAACATAGCCATTACGCTAACTGCTGGTCCCAAAGTGTTTTTACTTTTAAAGCAAAATTCAATCACTAGCTCAAGTGGAAAATCAATAGCTATTCCTCCCCCTCCAAAAAAAAAAAAAAATACAAGTTAACCAAAAATATTTTAAAGAAAAACAAAATACTACTACTAAATCCTAGCTAGACGGTGGTGCCCACCAAGGCAGAGAGCGTGCGTCTTGCTCACTGTTTACAAAAAGGAGTGGGGATTGGGAACCAGCAGTTAGCGTAATGGCTATGTCGCTGGACTCCCACATAGTCGACCGCGGTTCACGTCCCAGACCCGGTGGCTTAAAACTCACGCCGGGCGCATGTGCGTGTGTGCCCAAGATCCCGAGAGGAGAATGGAGGAGAAGGGATTGCGGCGTGACCATCCCCCCTGGGGGGTGATTTCTCGCTTTCTGTCTCTATGTCTCTGTCTGTCTGGCGAGCGCACGCGTCCTATAGCGAAAACCTCTCCAAAAAAAGAAGGAGTGGGGATTAGCGAACCAGGTCTGAGCAGGGCAAAGAGCTGCACGTAGGCCTTCTCCACGATAATCCAAAAAACGGAAAGAATAAAAGCAGGGTGTAGCTCCGGGAGGGAGAGGCGGAGCTGGGCAGAGAGAGGAAGAGAAGGGGTGAGGCGTGGGCGAGAGCAGGAGGGGACATCAGCCATCACAGCCATACAGGTTCCCACCACCGGCCTTACTCCCGTCTACGGATGCTTTTCCTAAGAGACACGTGGAGAGCAGAGATTGGAAATCTACGCCAGGTAAGTGAGAAGAGGAAAAACCAAGTAGCAAGGCTCTATTGACATCGGGCAAACTGGACTTTAAGAATCAGAAAGATACTAGTAAGCCCATTCACATTATGAACGGCATTAGTAAGTAAGAATTCATATTACTGAACCTCGGGAAGATACAGCAAGACAGCTAACAGGAGAGCTTCGACATGCGAGACGAAAACCACTGAAGAAACAGCAAGAAACAAACCAACAATCACAGCTGTAAATTAACTTCCTCTCAGGAATCAAAATATCAAAACCGATGGAAATTTGGTGTGGACACAGACGATTTGAAAGGTATAATAATTACAGGTCATGCAAAGAGTAAGAGGAGGATTAATCATGAATTAGACCATATATTTTAAAAAAACAGATTCTATCCAGAAATCATACAAGCTCTCTTCTCTGATTATAATATAACCAGGCCTACAATAAGGATCTATAATAAAGAAAGTGACTATTAGAATGAAGCCAAAAGAAAAAAAAATAATGAAGCTAAATGATAATTTTTTGAAAAGACCAATAGAATAGTTCAATTCTGGTCAAGGGAAAAAACAGAGAAAACACCAAACACATATTATCAATATTAGGAATGAAGAGAAAACATTTCTAAAAACCCTACAGATTTAAAAAAGATAAAAAGAATATTATAAACATCTTTATGAAAATAAATTTAACAACTTAGATAAAAAGGAAAAGGCTTTGAAAAGTTCAATTTATCAGCAGTTAGCATAATGGCTATGTCACTGGACTCCCATGTAGTCAACCACAGTTCAAGTCCTGGACCCGGTGGCTTAAACTCACGCCAGACGCGTGTGCATGCGTGCCCAAGATCCCGAGAGGAGAATAGAGGAGAAGGGATTGCAGCGTGACCATCCCCCCCTGGGGGGTGATTTCTCGCTTTCTGTCTCTCTGTCTCTGTCTGTCTGGCGAGTGCACACACCCTATAGCAAAAACCTCTCCCCCCTCCCAAAAAAAAAGTTCAATTTATCAAAACTAAGAAGAATTAATAAAAATTCTAAACAATTAAAAACCTATTCCAAAAGAAAAGAAAGCTTCAGGTTCAGATGAATGCTACAGAACATCTAAGGAAGATGTAATATCGGTCTCACATGAACTCTATCAGAAAAATAGCCACAAGGACCAGCCTCATAGCACGGCAGTCAGGTGCTAGGCAGAGGAAGCCAGTGCTCACGCCGCCAGCTAGGGTTCAAATCCCAGCCCCTGTGGCGATAGGCTCAGGACCCTGCTGAGGTGGAGAACTGCAGGATGAGTTCAAAGTGCGGGCGCCTCTCTCTCCCCCTCTCCCTCTCCTTCTTCTGGGCATACACATATCTCCCATAAATAAAAAAGAAAAAGAAGTCAAAGAGAACACTTCTTAACACATCTTATGAGACCAGTATCATACAGGTACTAAAACATGAGAAGAAAATTACAGACCAACATCCTCCAGAAACAGAGACTTAGACATTGTCCACAAAGCATCAATAAACCGTACACAGCTGTATATGAAGGGTAACACGCCGTGACCAAGTGTACAGGCACTGGATACCACATGCTGACCACAGTGGCTTGAAAAGCCCTTCGGGTGCACGTGCGTGCATGCCCATAATCCCAAGAGGAGAATGGAGGAAGAGAAGGGATTGTGGTGTGGCCATCCTCCCAGTGGAGGGTGATTTCTCACTTTCCTTCTGTTTCTCTCCAGTGACCGCAAGTGCCCTATGGCAAAAATCTTTAAATAAATTAATAAACAAATAGCTGAAGGAAAATTGTCATTAATCACAGATGATACAACTGAACGTGTAGAAAACACTATAAAATGTACTGAAATACAACTGAAACCAATTAGCGAATTTAGCAAAGTTCCAGAATACAAAGCCAGTATTAAAAAGTCAGTTATATTTCCACATTAGCTACAACTGGAAAATAAAATATAAAATCCATACCATAATAATAAAAGTCATCAGATACCTAGTTATAAATCAAACTAAAGCTATGCAATACCTTTACACTGAACACTATTCAACATGGATAAAAAACAGAGAAGACCTAAACAGATACATCATCCACTTAGATACCTTCAGTATTGTTAAGATGCCAAGTCTTTCAAATTGATCTATAAGTTCAAAGTAAGACTAATCAAAATCCAGACAGACTATTTTTTTGAAGAAAATGAAACAAATTGATTCTAAGAAAAACTTAAATGCCAAAACAATCTTGGAAACAAACAAACAAACAAAAACCAGCACTGGAGGACTCCTATTACGTGATTTAGCAATGTACTGAAGAGTTATAGAAACCAAGGCAGTGTATTGGTTACAGTTAAGACATATCAATAGAACAGAATAGAACCCAAAAATAAACCTACAAATACAGAGCCAATGAAATTTAAACAAAGGCACCAAGACAATTCAATTAAAGTCGTTTCAACCAACAATGCTAAAGTAATTGGATAGACAGACATATGGGAAAAAATTAACCTTGACCCTTACCTAACACATCACCCAACACATCACCCAAAACCTGTTTTAAGATATAAACTTAAGGGACCAGCAGTTAGCATAATGGCTATGTCGCTGGACTCCCACGTAGTCAACCGTGGTTAGAGTCCTGGACCCGGTGGCTTAAACTCACGCTGGGCGTGTGTGCGTGT